AATTTCAACTAGGGAGTGGAAATCCTATGTTGGAAAACACAGCTAGGGATTGGAGACCCTATACTACCATGATTTGTTTTTTTTTTCTTTCTTTTTAATTTCACATATTTTTTTTAAGATAATGAGTAAAATGCGGGAAAGAGTTTGGAGAAGACTTCCCTTTTGGAGTAGTTGCTGCAAAACTGTTCCTAGCCTTTGCGTAATTTCATTTTGGTTGCACCTGCTTCTTGCAAGGTTGCTTTTGGATTGCACCTGTTTCCCTATTTTTTCAAACAAAGAACAATTTGTCAGTTTGAAACGGTGGTTGGTTTTGTGGCCTTGATTGTTTCAGTCACTTGGTCTCGGTCCTTTCAGTTGCAACTGGTTATTTCCTGAATATCGATTGCATTTCTAACCTCGGAGAACCTCTGGATTTTTCGGACTTTGCCATGATGGTTAGTCACGTGAGACTTAACCTTTTCAACTTTTATTTTGCCCTTGTGGGCATTTGACTTTGAATTTCCTCTTTCAACAGTTTTTGATTTCGAAACATCGGCCAACATGGCCAGTTGGAGTCAACTTGATACCCCTATCGAGATTGGGTGCCTTTTCTTTTGCATATTGGCTTGTATCAAGTGAGAACTCTGTAAATCAGTCCTTCCTTCCCTTCTTTGTCTTAGTTTTGGAACAGAGTTAAATCGAAAAGGATTCAAAGAAAAGAAAATAATGGAATGGACAAATGAATTTAGACAAGAGGTATCCCTTTTGGGGAAAAGATAGAAGGACTTATCTGGAGTGTATACAGACTTCAATAAACATGACATGCCTCTTGGACTAGATGCCTGATCTGTGTAAACCGTACAACTCTCAGAAATTCATCACAACTCTTGCTTTGAGACTGAGAAACTTTGCCCAGGACTGTGTCGATGCCAGTGACTGTGAGGATCCTCTTTTTGATCAGTGGCACCCTTTGCGGGTTTTCACCAGCTGGCCTCTCTCATTTCTCTTCTTACCATCGCCTTATAGTGCTATTTGCGAGTTTTCACTAACAAGACTCTCATTTTTGAATTTTTCTGCTTACCATCGCCTTACGGTGCCCGTGAGGGTTTTCACCGATAAGACTCTCTCATTAGATCCGATAAGATGAATCTATGCCCATTTGAAGCTTTCGGCTCGATTGGCCCAATGACATCCATTCCCCAGGTAACAAACGGCCAAGGTGCTAACATAGGATGCAACTCTAAAGGCGATGCATGAATCAGGTCACCGTGTATCTGACACTGATGACACTTCCGGACAACACTGAAGCAATCCTTTTCCATGGTCATCCAGTAATAACCTGCCCGGAAGATTTTCTTTGCAAGGACATATCCGTTCATGTGAGGTCCACATACTCCCGAATGCATTTCGTTCATGATCTTTTTAGCTTCTAGGCCATCTATACACCTCAAAAGATTCAGATCTGGAGTTATTTTGTACAAGATTTCTCCGCTCAAGAAGAAACCACTGGCAAGCCTTCTAATGGTTCTCTTTTGGTCTCTACTAGCCTGCTCAGGATATTTCTTTGTTTTCAAAAACCTTTTGATATCATGATACCATGGCTGTACATCTGGTTCTATTTCAATTGTATTACAATAACCATGCCTTTCTCGAATTTGGATTTCCAACGGGTCAATATGGACATTGCCCGGATACGGTAGCATTGAGGCTAAAGTAGCTAATGCATCAGCTAACTCCTTGTGGAATCGAGGAATATACCTGAACTCGACGGACTTGAATCGTTTGCTAAGATCTTCCACATGTTGCCTATATGGGATAAGCTTGATATCTCGAGTTTCCCATTCACCTTGGGCTTGCCGAATGATCAAATTTGAATCTCCCATGATTAACAATTCTTCCACATCCAGATCAACTGCCATATTCATTCCCATAATTCAGGCTTCATACTCAGCGGTGTTGTTGGTACAGAAGAACCAAAGATGGGCTGTGGTCGAATAGTGCTGACCGGTGGGTGAAACCAAAATTGCCCCAATCCCGACACCTTTTGCATTTACAGCTCTATCAAAGAACATTTTCCAAGCATTGGTGTCTTCTGGAATTACTTCAACTGAATTTACTTCCTCGTCCGGAAAGTAAGTACTTAGGGGTTGGTATTCATCATCAACCGGGTTCTCAGCTAGATGATCCGCCAAGGCTTGAGCTTTCATTGCTGTACGGGTGACATAGACAATGTCGAACTCAGTGAGCAGGATTTGCAATTTTGCTAACCTTCCCGTAGGCATTAGTTTCTGGAATATGTACTTCAGAGGATCCATTCTAGTTATGAGATATGTGGTGTAGGCCAAAAGATAATGTCTGAGCTTCTGGGCGACCCAAGTTAGGGCGAAACAAGTTCTTTCCAACAAAGTATACTTGGCTTCATAAATGGTAAACTTCTTGCTCAACTAGTATATGTCCTTCTCTCTCTTCCCGGTCACATCATGTTGCCCCAGGACACATCCAAAGGAATTTTCCAAGACTATCAAATAAAAGAACAAAGGTCTTCCTGGCTCGGGTGGAAACAACACTGGCAAAAGCCTCTTGACATTCATCTGTCCATTTGATCGCTGCATCTTTCTTCAGCAACTTAAATATGGGCTCACACGTGGTAGTAAGCTGGGCAATGAACTTGCTGATGTAATTCAATCTCCCTAGCAGACTCATGACCTATTTCTTGGTTCTCGGAGGTGGAAAATCCCGAATAGACTTTATCTTTGTCGGATCTAACTCAATACCCCTCTGGCTGACTATAAACCCCAGAAGTTTCCCAGATGGAACTCCGAATGCACATTTGGCTGGATTTAATTTCAAGTCATACTTGCACAGACGCTCAAAGAACGTTCTCAGATCTCGCACATGGCCTTCTTGTGTTCTGGATTTAATGATCACATCATCCACATACACCTCAATTTCCCGGTGCATCATGTCATGGAAGATGGCAGTCATGGCTCTCATGTAAGTTGCCCCGGCATTTTTCAAACCGAATGGCATAACTCTGTAACAATAAGTGCCCCACGGCATGGTGAAAGCCGTCTTTTCTGCGTCGTCCTCATTCATCAGAACCTGGTGGTACCCAACATAATAATCCATGAAAGACTGTATCTTATGTTTGGCACAGTTGTCAACAAAATTATGAATGTTTGGAAGTGGAAAGTTGTCCTTGGGACTTGCTTTGTTCAAATCCCGATAATCAACACACACTCGGGTTTTCCCATCTTTCTTCGGCATTGGGACCACATTAGCCGACCACGTGGTGTATCGGACCACCCGAATCACACAAGTTTTTAATTGTTTGGTGACTTCTTCTTTGATCTTATCACTAATTTTCGTTTTAAACTTTCTTTGCTTTTGTTGTACGTGTGGGTAACCGGGATAAGTTGGCAATTTATGTACTACCAAATCAACGCTCAAACCTGGCATATCATCATAGGACCATGCAAACACATCCTTGAATTCAAACAAAAGTTGGATCAATGCATCCCTAGTTCTTTCATCGGCGTGAATGCTTATCATGGTTTCTCGGACCTCTTCTGGACTGCCCAAATTAACTGGCTCGGTTTTATTTAAGTTTGGCTTAGGCTTATTCTCAAATTGTTCCAATTCTCGATTTATTTCCCTAAAAGCCTCATCTTCATCATATTCTGGATCTTGATTCATTATTTCACAGTTAGACAACATTTTAGGATCTGGACATGAAATCCGCAAGTATGTCATGTTATTTAAGTCCGCATTATTAGAACTGAAAAGGAAAAGATAAGAAAAATAGCAAAATTAGAATAAAGAAAAAGGAAAAATCCATTGACGATGAAATATTGATTTCATTTCATTGAATTGAAGATAAGAGGGTTTACATCAAAATCAAAAGACAATAAAATAAAAACATTCGAGTTACAACCTGAAATAACTCGTAATGTAGAAAAAATGGCAAGACTGGACTACCGGGATTCCCGCCTGACAGGGAATGGGGTAGCTTTCCAATTCTGAAGCTTGGCATTTGGTCCTATGTATAACACCTCAGCAGTGCTCATTCCTTCCCCCGGCTGGACCATGTGGGACTCATACAAAATTTGTTTCATGGCTTCACAAATATCCTCAATCTCTTCGGTCGTGAAGGCCTCTTTTTCTTCTTCTTCTTCTTCTACATATTTGGGATCAATAAATGACTTGGCTCGATGCGGAACGGGCTGAGGCAAGACCCACCCATTTTTCTTACGCTCATCAGCCCATTTTCTATCGGCCTTTATAGCTCGGAAACCTACGCCGAAGAACTTCTCATTGGCGGTTGAAGTAACGGGCTCTATGATGCCTTGTAGAGATACCCCGAGCCCCTTTCCGGGCTTGTACCCATGTTTAATCATTTTAGTGGCAACCATGACTGAGGTATTAGATAAGCAAGGTTGAGGGAACGGGGGCCTTTCTTCGCATTGGTCGGCGATCACAATTTCGAAGGCTTGGTAGACAATGTGCTCACTTCCTTCTCTAGCTTCGAGACATGGGACTGAAGAGTCCCTGTAAATGGATTGTTCATCCTCCCCGTGGACAACAATTTCTTGGTTTTAATGTTCAAATTTGACCATTTGATGAAGAGTGGAGGGCACAGCTCTTGCAGCATGAATCCATGGTCTTCCTAGGAGAAAATTATATGAAGTATCCATGTCCAGATGCTGGAAAGTTACTTCGAAATCCACAGGGCCAATGGTCAAAATCAAATCAATTTCCCCTATTGTGTCTCGCTTGACACCATCAAAAGCGCGCACACAGACATTGTTTGGCCGAATTCTTTCTGTTCCAATTTTCATCCTCTGGAGCATTGAGAGAGAGCAAATGTCGACCCCAAACCCGCCATCTAGCATGACTCTCTTCATATAATAACCTTCGCATTTGACAGTCAAGTGAAGGGATTTGTTGTGGGCGGCTCCCTCTTGGGGCAAATCATCACGGCTGAAGCAAATCTTATTAACTTCGAAGAATCGTTCAGCCATTCACTCCAGTTGTTCAACTGAATTTTCAACCGGGACATATGCCTCATTCAATGTCTTCAGGAGTACCTTCTGATGTTCATTTGAGCTAAAAAATAGAGATAAAAATGAAACCTGGGAAGGAGTATTCCTGAGCTGGTCAATTATTGCATATTTCGAAGTTTTCATTTTTCGGAAAAACTCTTCTGCTTCCTCAGCGCACACAGGCTTCTTAGGCGGAAACCATTTATCCTTGCTCAGTTTTAACATCTTTTGCTCTTCTAGGTTGTGGTAATTCCTAGGTTGGTTCATTTCGTTCACCTCTCCCATAATCTCTTTCCCCTTATAAGTAACCATTGTTTTGCTATAATTCCAGGGGACTGCAGTGGGGCCTCTCATAGGGCTCTGTGGTGCACGACTAATAACCACGGGCTCAGTCAGCCTTGGTAAAATTATCGGCCCCCGCGCCACATAAGTCCCTTTTGGCACATACAACTTCGGCACATTTAACGTGACTTTCCTCTGCTCAAATATTTTGGGAGTGTTCAATATGAGTTGTTCTTTCCTTGGGGCTCTAGGAACATAGAGAATTGCGTCCTTAGCAGGTGCTGCCCCAGTATTTGTTTCCACAGCCTTTTCTGCAACTTGAGGAGTTGGAGTGATTTTCTTCTCATTTCTGGCTTGTTTCGCCGCCGCTTTAGGTCTTGCCTCTGAATCAGCAATGGCGATGATAACTTTCAAAGCTGGATAAAACTCTTTATCATCACAAATCATTCCAATGACCGGCCCATTATTGTGGGCCGGTAATGGATTGTTAGTCACATTGTGGACTTCCTCGTCTCTCAGCACCACTCGTTTTTGTTCTATCAAATTCTCAACGGCCCTCTTGAGAGTCCAACAATCCTCCGTATCATGCCCCTCTGCCCCCGAATGATAGGCACACCTGGTACCGGGCCGGTATGATGCAGATTTTGGATTTTGCCAATTTGGAGGCACAAGTTGCAATAGACCCATCTGGACTAATTTTGGAAACAGGCTAGAGTAGGACTCACCAATAGGGGTGAAGTCATTTTTCCTAGGATGCTCACGAGGGCGTGTATTATGTTGGTAATTGATTTGTGGGGGACGAGAGTTATATGGAGCTTGGTACGAATGGTTATTTCTGGAGGTGGAGCTCGGTGTTGGTTGTAGTGTTGTTGTGGCCATGTATAAGGTTTGTCATTCATCACCGCATAGGGAGGCGGTGCCACGGTATATGCTGCATCTTGATGGAGGTAGTAGTGTTGTGGGGTTCTGGAAGGCAGGTAAGAATGATCGCGGGATCGATGGGGGCCTCTCAAACCTGAAGCCATCATGGCTCCTTCTTCCCTCTTCTTTCGATTTGCTAAACCTCCCGAGCCGCTCTGGATGGCTTGGGAGGTGGCTCTCAAAGCAGATTGACTTATGATTCGGCCAGTTTTCAGGCCATTTCCTACCATTTCTCCGATTTTTATGGCCTCTGCAAAAGGTTTGCCCATGACAGACATCATGTTCTGAAAGTAATCGGCCTCTTGGGCCTGTAAGAAAACATTGACCATTTCTGTCTCATCCATAGGCGGTTTCACTCTGGCTACTTGCTCACGCCACTTGATAGCATATTCACGGAAGCTTTCCGCGATTTTCTTCTTGAAATTGGTCAGAGAATTCCTATCTAGAGCTATATCAATATTGTATTAAAATTGCCTAACGAAATCTCGGGCCAAGTCATCCCATATATGCCAATGGGAGATGTCCTCGTCTATGTACCATTCTGACGCAATTCCCGTCAAGCTCTCCCCCGAAATAGGCCATCAAAAATTCTTCTTTTCCACCTTCCCCTTTCAGCTGATTGCAATATCTTTTCAAATGAGCGATCGGGTCTCCGTGCCAGTCGTACTTTTTGAATTTTGGCATTTTAAAGCCAACGGGCAAATGAACAGGAGGAAACATGCACAGATCGGAGTATGAGACACTATTTTGGCCACTCAGGTCTTGCATGTTCTTCAGAGTTTGTTCGAGGCTTTTTATCTTCCGAACCATCTCTTCTTGCTTGGGGTTTCTCAAAGCTCTTTCCTGTTCCATAGGAGACTCAAACTGCGGGTGCTGAGGGTAAGAGTTTGGGGTAACATGAGCATTGTCTAGTTGAAATTGCGGGACTTGAAAAGTGAAAGCTGAAGGCTCGAAGCATGACTTGGGAACTGTTGGCTGTGCCGTAGTAGAGACTGGTGGTGCGGTGAATAATGTAGAAGGTGCCTCTGAAAACGGTGCCTGGGGGCGAACCTCAGAAGGCATACCGGTGAAATTGGCCGATATAGTGGGGTACCCAAACGGGATAAATGGGTTAGTTACGGGGATGGGGACATTGGAGGTTCCACTCGTCCTAGGAAGCAGTTCAGGAAATCCGGGGATTATACTGGGCGGTTCTTTGCCATTAGACCAAGCGTCCCACATTTCTAACATGCAGACGCGCAACCTCCTATTTTCTTCGGCGGCTGCGGGCTCTGACTGTGGAATAGCCGATATCGGACTATCCTCAGGCTCAATAATTGGTAGATGACTTTCGGAGGCCATAAGAACACTGCCTTTATATCTCGTGAAGTAAGGATGGAAAGCCAGATTACCACAAAACCAACCACCTAAACAGGACCTTTGATATTTGCACACACAACAATCTGGTTAGTTTGAGATATTTAACAGATAAAGAATCGCATATTGGGGAGAACACTGCCTTTATATCTCGTGAAGTAAGGATGGGAAGCCAGATTACCACAAAACCAACCACCTAAACAGGACCTTTGATATTTGCACACACAACAATCTGGTTAGTTTGAGATATTTAACAGATAAAGAATCGCATATTGGGGATGCAATGCACTTAAACAGTTAAATGTTTCTAAATGTCTTTGCAATGACTGTATGTTTCATCCCGGCTTTACTATCTCCTTTCTCAAATTTCGAATCCTGATTTCTTTTTCCTTCCCTTATTGCTGTTTTCGCTCTTTTATTTTTCACTCTTTTTTCTTTCTTGTTCACTCAATTTTCCTTCCTTTTCTCTTTTTCTCTTTATTTTTCACTCAGATTGTCTATAGCTACGATCGAATCCAATGGGGATTGCCTACGTATCATGACGCCGCATGAATCAGATCATTACGCAGTTCAGGAAATAAATGCAGAATAAAAGAAAAGAAAATTTTGGTTTTTGTTTTTTTTTCAATATTTCATTAAATAATTTTTTTTTGGTTTTTCTATTACCAAGACTTTGGAAATACTGACGATTAAACATACATACTCAAAACGGAAAAAAACAGACTCGAAAAGGTAAAATACAGACTCAAAACCAAAAATAATAAATAAAAAAAAATCAGAAATACATAATAGCCTCCAATACTACTCCGGGGTCCCGTGGTACATCAGTCGGTCTCGACGCGAGCCTGCGTGCAATCTCTTCTTGAAGGTACTCTAAATCATCCATCACCTGACGGAAAAAAGTCATTACAGAAGCAAAGAACACGGACCTGGTCATATCTTTGCATTCATGGCATTTCATTGCGACATAATCAGCGATTTCTTTAACCCTCATTCTAATGACGTCCTTTTCTTGGAGCAAGCATCCAATTTGCTGAGACCGGGCCTCCAACACCTGCGTGGCCGTATGGTTTTGGTCTTGCAATTGTTGTATATCTTCTTCCAATCGGGAAATCAATGTATAGCAATTCTCTCTTTCAGCTTTGAAATCCTTTGTCTGTTGGATCATTTTATTTTCGAGATTAGTTAGTTTTTCCCCTAAGATCGCGACCCCTCTATCATACTTTTGCTTTAAATGTTGAACACACCTTGCCCGTTCTTCTGCATTATTCGCCAATTTTGCCCGAGCTTTTGCCAATTCTTCCTCGGCCTTTGTCAAATCAAACCCATAATCATGAACTTTTCGCCTCAGATTGCTTATGAGTCTTTCATCTTTTTCGCTTCTTACCGGGTTTTCAGAACTATTTTCATTTTCTGAATCTGAGCTCGGAGGGCTTCATTTTCTCGAGCCAATTTTTTCTTTTCTCTTTCATCCTCGGCAGCCTGCAAATTACTGTTGAATTTGAGGTTTTTGATTTGATCCTCTAGCTTGCTTATGGTGGCCTGGTATTCCTTCTCTTTAGCTAACCAAATCCACTTTTCTCGCGCTCCATCGGTGAATTGTTAGACATGGGGTCTTTTGGCGGGCTGTTCTTTTTCTTGATCGACTCGAACTATCTTACCATACCAGGCTGTATAGTTAGATTCTACTTCACCCGAGGAACAATCCCGTACTTTAGTCTGTGGCTCCAGAAACCTACATTGGTGCCAAATCTGGCGAACCTTTTCTTCTGGGAATGCGGCTTTTGGGCATAATTCAATAACCTATGGACTCAAATCTTCATCATAAGGGACTGTTTGGTATCTTTCCAATTGGCGTAGGACTCGATGCGGAGCATATGGCTGAATACTCCGAAGTCCCATCAATAAAAGAAAGCGCACTCCGACAAACATGTAAATAACCTCATTGACCGTGAGCCAGCTGAAAGTCCACTCAATTCGGTTTGCGGTCAAAAAATCCAAATACGCGAACAAAGCCTCAGTACCCTCCGGTAACTCATGACCGTTTACCCAGTTTTCATATTCTTCAATGCAATCGAGTCTGGTCAGACCGTAATTCATGTACCTCGGGCGATGGCAAAGATGTTCCACTAGCCACATTTGCAAAAGCAAGTTGCAACCCTCAAAGAACTTTGTCCCAGCTCGACAGGCGGTTAGAGCTCAATAGATTTCCACGAGAATCATCGGTATAAGAGTGCCGTTGGCCTTTTTGACCATAAAGTCGGCCATTCCTGCAAGTCCCAGCTCTATATGTCCGTCACTCCTTGGGCATATCAGAGTGCCTAAAAATGCAACTCCGAAAGCTAAACCTCTGTGTGTTTCCCATTTGTTTTTATTTCCCTGATGACTCAAACCAGTGTCCAGAGCCTCAAATCCTCGGGGATCCCCATACCGGCTATATAAGAAGTGGAATGTGCAAAATCCTTTGGCCAAATATCAATCTTTAACTTGCCGGCTAATGCTCAGAAGGTCCAAAAACTTATGAGGGGTTACAGGTCTTGGTGCTACTGGATATCAGTGCCTGAGATTCCCGTCAAGACCAACATAACCTGCCATCTCCTCTAGCAAAGGGGTCAACTCAAAATCAGAGAAGTGGAAAACATTGTGCGTCGGGTCCCAAAACGATATCAAAGCTTCAATTATATCAACCCTTGGTTTAATTTTCAGAAGCCCGGTGAGCCCACCTAAAGCCTTTGTCACATAACGCTTGCTGACCTACCCCAGGTCATTCCACCACATGTGGAGTCCCAGTGGAATCTCATCTACGACCCGAAAAGGTACATTCTCAACGGTGCTCATTCTACACACAAATTGAGGACAAAGATCAAAACCGACATACTTTCCAAAAACACAAAGTGGTTAATTTTAAAAATCCAAATCAGTAAATTTCGTAACAAAAAGGTTTTTGTTTTTGGGCAAATACGGCCCTTCAGCACTTGAGAAAAGTTTTTAGGGTTGTTTCTTCCAACTGGGGTTAGTTATAGGAGACAAAACTGACTTGGGTTTACATTGTGACTATTCTTGTGAAAACAGCCTTCCGGCGCTCCAGGAGAATGTTTTAAGGCTGTTTTGACAAGAACGGCCTCGGGTGATGATCATGTTTCAAAAGGTTCTTATTTTGGTTAGTTTTGAAAAAATATGGTCGGGCCTGATAGGGGTTGCCTACGTATCTCACATCCGGTGAGAATCAGACCCGCGTAGTTCGGTAGGTTTTGGCGCAATAGGAAAACATGACTTATTTTGAAAATGACGTTTTTTTTTTCAAAATTTCGACAGAGTTTCAGTACTTTTCAAATACCTGGATTTTCAAAATCGGGTAATTTTTTTTCTCCTACCTCACTTTTTGGTTTTTCTTGGTTCCCTTTCCCTATTTTAGAAGCCGATCAACATGCAAGCCGAAAAAAATATATGCACAAGTAGCACGTAAAATGCATCAGGATGGTCCTTTATATTTGGTACACCTGTCCTAGATGGACCCAACTCCTGTGTTGAGTCTCCAAAGTCAAATGCACGTGATGCAAATAAACGTTCCTACTAGGGATCCGGCATGAGGCTATGTTATTTTTAGGTTTAGATCCCGGGTGTGTTGTTCTAGACATGGCTTACCCGAGAAGACAACTCGAGCTGGGGAGAGGGGGGGGGGG